ACTACTGAAGTCTCCCAGCTCAGGCTGACACTACTGAAGTCTCCCAGGTCAGGCTGACACTTCTGAAGTCTCCCAGCTCAGGCTGACACTACTGAAGTCTCCCAGCTCAGGCTGACACTACTGAAGTCTCCCAGCTCAGGCTGACACTACTGAAGTCTCCCAGCTCAGACTGACACTACTGAAGTATGCCAGCTCAGACTGACACTACTGAAGTCTGCCAGCTCAGGCTGACACTACTGAAGTCTCCCAGGTCAGGCTGACACTACTGAAGTCTGCCAGCTCAGGCTGACACTACTGAAGTCTCCCAGCTCAGGCTGACACTACTGAAGTCTCCCAGATCAGGCTGACACTACTGAAGTCTGCCAGCTCAGGCTGACAATACTGAAGTCTCCCAGCTCAGGCTGACACTACTGAAGTCTCCCAGCTCAGGCTGATACTACTGAAGTCTCCCAGCTCAGACTGACACTACTGAAGTATGCCAGCTCAGACTGACACTACTGAAGTCTGCCAGCTCAGGCTGACACTACTGAAGTCTCCCAGCTCAGGCTGACCCTACTGAAGTCTCCCAGCTCAGGCTGACACTACTGAAGTCTGCCAGCTCAGGCTGACACTACTGAAGTCTCCCAGCTCAGGCTGACACTACTGAAGTCTCCCAGCTCAGGCTGATACTACTGAAGTCTCCCAGCTCAGACTGACACTACTGAAGTATGCCAGCTCAGACTGACACTACTGAAGTCTGCCAGCTCAGGCTGACACTACTGAAGTCTCCCAGCTCATGCTGGCACTACTGAAGTCTCCCAGCTCAGGCTGAAACTACTGAAGTCTCCTAGCTCAGGCTGACACTACTGAAGTCTCCCAGCTCAGGCTGACACTACTGAAGTCTCCCAGGTCATGCTGACACTACTGAAGTCTCCCAGGTCAGGCTGACACTACTGAAGTCTCCCAGCTCAGGCTGGCACTCCTGAATCTCCCAGCTCAGGCTGACACTACTGAAGTCTCCCAGCTCAGACTGACACTCCTGAAGTATGCCAGCTCAGACTGACACTACTAAAGTCTGCCAGTTCAGGCTGACACTACTGAAATCTCCCAGCTCAGGCTGACACTAATGAAGTCTGCCAGCTCAGGCTGACACTACTGAAATCTCCCAGCTCAGGCTGACACTACTGAAGTCTGCCAGCTCAGGCTGACACTACTGAAGTCTCTCAGCTCAGGCTGACACTACTGAAGTCTCCCAGCTCAGGCTGACACTACTGAAGTCTCCCAACTCAGACTGACACTACTGAAGTCTCCCAGCTCAGGCTGACACTGCTGAAGTCTCCCAGCTCAGGCTGACACTGCTGAAGTCTCCCAGCTCAGGCTGACGCTGCTGAAGTCTCCCAGCTCAGGCTGACACTACTGAAGTCTGCCAGCTCAGGCTAACACTACTGAAGTCTCCCAGCTCAGACTGACACTACTGAAGTCTCCCAGCTCAGGCTGACACTGCTGAAGTCTCCCAGCTCAGGCTGACACTGCTGAAGTCTCACAGCTCAGGCTGACACTGCTGAAGTCTCCCAGCTCAGGCTGACACTACTGAAGTCTCCCAGCTCAGGCTGACACTACTGAAGTCTCCCAGCTCAGACTGACACTAATGAAGTCTCCCAGCTCAGGCTGACACTACTGAAGTCTCCCAGCTCAGACTGACACTACTGAAGTCTGCCAGCTCAGGCTGACACTACTGAAGTCTGCCAGCTCAGACTGACACTACTGAAGTCTCCCAGCTCAGGCTGACACTGCAGAAGTCTCCCAGCTCAGACTGACACTACTGAAGTCTCCCAGCTCTGGCTGACACTACTGAAGTCTCCAAGCTCAGGCTGACACTACTGAAGTCTCCCAGCTCAGACTGACACTACTGAAGTCTCCCAGCTCAGGCTGACACTACTGAAGTCTCCCAGCTCAGACTGACACTACTGAAGTCTCCCAGCTCAGGCTGACACTGCAGAAGTCTCCCAGCTCAGACTGACACTACTGAAGTCTCCCAGCTCTGGCTGACACTACTGAAGTCTCCCAGCTCAGACTGACACTACTGACGTCTCCCAGCTCAGACTGACACTACTGAAGTCTCCCAGCTCAGACTGACACTACTGAAGTCTCCCAGCTCAGACTGACACTACTGAAGTATGCCAGCTCAGACTAAAACTACTGAAGCCTGCCAGCTCAGGCTGACACTACTGAAGTCTCCCAGCTCAGGCTGACACTACTGAAATCTCCCAGCTCAGGCTGACACTACTGAAGTCTGCCAGCTCAGGCTGACACTACTGAAGTCTCCCAGCTCAGGCTGACACTATTGAAGTCTCCCAGCTCAGACTGACACTACTGAAGTATGCCAGCTCAGACTGACACTACTGAAGTCTGCCAGCTTAGGCTGACACTACTGAAGTGTCCCAGGTCAGGCTGACACTAATGAAGTTTCCCAGCTCAGGCTGACACTACTGAAGTCTCCCAGCTCAGGCTGACACTACTGAAGTCTCCCAGGTCAGGCTGACACTACTGAAGTCTCCCAGGTCAGGCTGACACTACTGAAGTCTCCCAGGTCAGGCTGACACTACTGAAGTCTCCCAGCTCAGGCTGACACTACTGATGTCTCCCAGCTCAGGCTGACACTACTGAAGTCTCCCAGCTCAGGCTGACACTACTGAAGTCTCCCAGCTCAGACTGACACTACTGAAGTATGCCAGCTCAGACTGACACTACTGAAGTCTGCCAGCTCACGCTGACACTACTGAAGTCTCCCAGCTCAGGCTGGCACTACTGAAGTCTCCCAGCTCAGGCTGACACTACTAAAGTCTCCCAGCTCAGGCTGACACTACTGAAGTCTCCCAGCTCAGGCTGACACTACTGAAGTCTCCCATGTCAGGCTGACACTACTGAAGTCTCCCAGGTCAGGCTGACACTACTGAAGTCTCCCAGCTCAGGCTGACACTCCTGAATCTCCCAGCTCAGGCTGACACTACTGAAGTCTCCCAGCTCAGACTGACACTCCTGAAGTATGCCAGCTCAGACTGACACTACTAAAGTCTGCCAGTTCAGGCTGACACTACTGAAATCTCCCAGCTCAGGCTGACACTACTGAAGTCTGCCAGCTCAGGCTGACACTACTGAAGTCTCTCAGCTCAGGCTGACACTACCGAAGTCTCCCAGCTCAGGCTGACACTACTGAAGTCTGCCAGCTCAGGCTGACACTACTGAAGTCTCCCAGCTCAGGCTGACACTACTGAAGTCTCCCAACTCAGACTGACACTACTGAAATATGCCAGCTCAGACTGACACTACTGAAGTCTGCCAACTCAGGCTGACACTACTGAAGTCTCCCAGCTCAGGCTGACACTGCTGAAGTCTCCCAGCTCAGGCTGACACTGCTGAAGTCTCCCAGCTCAGGCTGACGCTGCTGAAGTCTCCCAGCTCAGGCTGACACTACTGAAGTCTGCCAGCTCAGGCTATCACTACTGAAGTCTCCCAGCTCAGACTGACACTACTGAAGTCTCCCAGCTCAGGCTGACACTGCTGAAGTCTCCCAGCTCAGGCTGACACTGCTGAAGTCTCACAGCTCAGGCTGACACTGCTGAAGTCTCCCAGCTCAGGCTGACACTGCTGAAGTCTCCCAGCTCAGGCTGACACTACTGAAGTCTCCCAGCTCAGACTGACGCTACTGAAGTCTCCCAGCTCAGGCTGACACTACTGAAGTCTCCCAGCTCAGACTGACACTACTGAAGTCTCCCAACTCAGGCTGACACTACTGAAGTCTGCCAGCTCAGACTGACACTACTGAAGTCTCCCAGCTCAGGCTGACACTGCAGAAGTCTCCCAGCTCAGAATGACACTACTGAAGTCTCCCAGCTCTGGCTGACACTACTGAAGTCTCCCAGCTCAGGCTGACACTACTGAAGTCTCCCAGCTCAGACTGACACTACTGAAGTCTCCCAGCTCAGGCTGACACTACTGAAGTCTCCCAGCTCAGACTGACACTACTGAAGTCTCCGAGCTCAGGCTGACACTGCAGAAGTCTCCCAGCTCAGACTGACACTACTGAAGTCTCACAGCTCTGGCTGACACTACTGAAGTCTCCCAGCTCAGACTGACACTACTGAAGTCTCCCAGCTCAGACTGACACTACTGAAGTCTCCCAGCTCAGACTGACACTACTGAAGTCTCCCAGCTCAGGCTGACACTACTGAAGTCTCCCAGCTCAGGCTGACACTGCTGAAGTATGCAAGCTCAGGCTGACACTACTGAAGTCTCCCAGCTCAGGCTGACACTACTGAAGTCTCCCAGCTCAGGCTGACACTACTGAAGTCTCCCAGCTCAGGCTGACACTACTGAAGTCTGCCAACTCAGACTGACACTAATGAAGTCTGCCAACTCAGACTGACACTACTGAAGTCTGCCAACTCAGACTGACACTACTGAAGTCTGCCAACTCAGACTGACACTACTGAAGTCTGCCAACTCAGACTGACACTACTGAAGTCTGCCAGCTCAGACTGACACTACTAAAGTCTGCCAACTCAGACTGACACTACTGAAGTCTGCCAGCTCAGACTGACACTACTAAAGTCTGCCAACTCAGACTGACACTACTGAAGTCTCCCAGCTCAGACTGACACTACTGAAGTCTCCCAGCTCAGGCTGACACTACTGAAGTCTGCCAACTCATCCAGTATGATGAAGGATGACAGGAAAATCATCCAGTGTAATGAGATATGCTAAACAAACATATATTTTGCTATAACCTCACAAACATCATATAGATGAGGAGAGCCACACAATGTGGTGCATAGAATCAAATTTAGTTAATAAGAACAACACTCATTCACTAACATTATTAACTTATTAACAACAATTTATAGACAATTCTTCAATAAGAGTAATTGCAGAATAATAATATGAAGCTATACTGTTATTCTTGTAGAAATGGGTATTGTTATTATGCATTTTTTAATTAAAAAATATAAGTTTCATTGGTTTTAGAAAGTAAAGAGCAGACATGTTTGTTTATGTCAGCTGAGCTGAGGGGCAGACCGGCCGCTCCTCTTATTATCATTTTCTGGTGATATATCTGTGAGGTATTCATTAATTGTATGTTAGAAGCTTGTATATATGTGGGGTTTTTTGTTGCCAGGTGTAACTTAGAGGAAGTAATCCACATGTGTCGTTGGTAATTTAGTAGCAGGTTGCCGTTAGTTTTTAGTTTAATATGTTTATTTTGTGGACTTGTAATTTGCAGTTATGTGTAATTTACCTAATTACTTACTTACTAATAGTGATTTTTACCTAATTAGTTACTAATTGTGATGCTCTTGCTTCAAGGGGTTAGAATTTTTCCCTTGAGCAGCAGTGATTATCGTCCATTAACCAGATTAACTTACCTAACTTTATTTACGTACACATAAATACAATTACACAAATAATTATACATAGTAATTTATGTGTAAATTACTTACTTGGATAATAAAGTCAAAGTGACTTATTTCCATCGGGGTCATTGTAATATTAATTAAACCCTGAAAGTTAAAACAGTTAAGTAACTCAACTGTGTGAAAATCATTTACAATAAAATTAGACATACTAACAGGCTTGAGCATCTAACAGGCTTGAGCATCTAGCAGGCTTGAGCATCTAACAGGCTTGAGCATCTAACAGGCTTGAGCATCTAGCAGGCTTGAGCATCTAACAGGCTTGAGCATCTAACAGGCTTGAGCATCTAACAGGCTTGAGCATCTAACAGGCTTGAGCATCTAGCAGGCTTGAGCATCTAATAGGATTGAGCATCTAACAGGCTTGAGCATCTAGCAGGCTTGAGCATCTAACAGGCTTGAGCATCTAACAGGCTTGAGCATCTAGCAGGCTTGAGCATCTAACAGGCTTGAGCATCTAACAGGCTTGAGCATCTAGCAGGCTTGAGCATCTAATAGGATTGAGCATCTAACAGGCTTGAGTATCTAGCAGGCTTGAGTATCTAGCAGGCTTGAGCATCTAACAGGCTTGAGCATCTAACAGGCTTGAGCATCTAACAGGCTTGAGCATCTAACAGGCTTGAGCTTCTAACAGGCTTGAGCTTCTAATATGCTTGAGCATCTAACAGGCTTTAGCTTCTAACAGGCTTGAGCATTTAACAGGCTTGAACATTAACAGGCATGAGCATCTAACAGGCTTGAGCATCTAACAGGCTTGAGCTTCTAACAGGCTTGGGCTTCTAACAGGCTTGATCTTCTAACAGGCTTAAGTTTCTAACAAGCTTGAACATCTAACAGGCTTGAGTATCTAATAGGCTTGAAGACATTCCATCAAACGGGTTTTATCAATTCCTTTATTCAGTTCATCGCACTGTATGACCCTTACGAGTTTAGCACTTGGTTATGAATAAACTAATAATTATTCATTTCATGATAGATCCAGCAGTCTTGTGTGAGTGTGTTAGATAGGAGTGCATGGAAACAGACAAGTAGTTCATAATGGATGTGCTGTTGTAGTGTGAGCAAGGTAAGTTTTATGAAGATTATTATTATAATCAAGGGGGAAGCGCTAAACCCGGAGGATTATACAGCGCCTGGGGGGGGATATGTGGAAGGCATTCAGGCTTAATTCGTGGGAACTGGAGCACAGATCCAATTCCCTAAATCAAGAGCCCCTCACCAACATCAAGGAACCTTCCTTGAGGGGACAAAGAGAGTTTAACTGGTTAGCTGGACTTGAGTCCTAGAGGTGGGAAGAGCAGTGCATGCACTCTGAGGGAGGGGTGGAGACGTTAGTAAGTTTATCTAGGTACAGTTACACATAAGTACATTTATCATATCTGGTAACTTGTAACTTACCTACTATAACCCCAGAAAGGTCAGACAAAGTAACTTATTTCGTTTGTGGCCTTGTAACATCTTATTATTTAAATCCTAGCAGTAAGTTACAGTAGAAATCAATCATGATTATAGGGATATTCTTGATTAAGTCTTCATTATTTGTTTAGGTTTGTATTTTTATTCCATTATGCAATGTGAATGATGAGACAAAATTAATATGAATTGCATATACAGTATGTACTATGGTATACAGTGGTAAGAATATATTTACAGTAAACCCTCAATTTAAGGGACCTTGATTTAATAGACTTTGGTAATATAGGACATCTGGGTCATCTGATTCATAAAAATAGAAAAAGTCCATTGGTTAGAAATTTGTCCATTATTTGGTATGATCACAGCAAAACAATCTTGTCTATCCACCACACCATTATTAGCCACCGCCTTTCCTTTATTAGTCTATTAAATTGAGGATTCACTGTAAATTCTTTTGATAAATTGTATTAATATCCTGCATTAAGTAGAATATTAATGCAATTTATCAAAAAGTAATATAAGTTACTATTGCGTATGTATAATAAAGATTGTTCAGAATACAGATTACTTCAGGGTTTCTTCATTATTACCTCTATTACATTCTTTAAGAGCTACAGTGGAACCTCAGTTTTTGTGATTAATTCATTCCAGAAAGTCTGACGAAAACTGAATTGTACAAAAAATGCATCAATATTTCCCATAAGAAATAATATAAATCCAATTAATCCATTCCAGACACCCAAAAATTTTAACAAAAAATACATTTTATAGAGAATAACTATTTATTTATTTATTTATTTAGAAATTTTAGCATACATACAGAGGTACAAAAAAATACAGGTAAGAGCAGCATGCCAAAGCCACTTATATGCATAGCATTATGGGCTGGCTTAAAATTAACTTAAGATTAACTAAGCAATGATGAAATCAGTGATAAGAAATTATTGAAAACAGATAACTATAAAGCACAAATGAGTTTTGAAAAGACGGGTTCATATGGTTGCATGCATTCTGTTCATTCATTTAAATGGGGGTATTCTTTAGTAGGTTTTTAAAAAAAATAAAAAGTTAGTTTTGGGTCTTGGTTTAAAAATTTTTTGTGATAAAATTGTAAAGAAACTTTTTGGAAATATACAATTTTAAATAAGGTTCAGTTATTAAATATTTATTTGGTTTTTAAAGGAGTAAGTAAACTTTGGAAGAGACTTAAAATTTTTTTAAACAGGTAGTGTTTTTTTTAATATTATGGAAAATGAATTCCAGTTTTTTGGGCCTTTTATGTGCATTGTTTTTGGGCATAGCGTGAAAATGGACCGGGGAAACCCATAAAGAGGGGGATCTGTGTTTGTTTATGGTCTGTTTTTCTGTTGGGGTTGGCAAGGAGATGTTTTGAGGGGGGGGGTTTATCAGAGTTAATGTTCTATGTATGTAATAGGTGCAATAAAAAGTATGGATTTTTTTGTATGGTGATGGTTTGGGAGTGTTTTGAATTTTGGTGGAGTGTGTTGCCTTTTAGTGGAATTTTTTTATCTTTCTAACTAAACCCTTTTTTTGGGTAATTAGGGGTCTGAGAGGGTTTAAAATTGTTGATGACCCATGCACAAATTCCTAGGTGAAAAGGGGGGTTAAATAAGAGAGTGAAAAAGGGGGCCAGGAGGGCGGGATTTGTGGAAAATGGTCCCGTATCTTCGATGAAATTCCCTTCCGTTTTGGAAAATTTTTCTTAGAAATTTTTTTGGTATATGTGTATGAAATTTAAAGTCTTTTACGGGGTGGATTCCTAAAAATTTTTCCCCCTCTGTTAGTTTTGTGATAGGTGTTTCCCGTTTTTCCTTTTATTTTAAAGAGGAAACCTTCTGAAAGTCTTTTAAAACCAAAACCTGAATGAAGTAGGTTTTGTCAATTTTTTAGGGGAAAGTTTTTTTAGCCCCTATCCAGGTAGATATTTTCTGTAAATTCGGTTTTTTACAGAAATTGGGCCCTTAGGGGGTTTGGGCTCGGGTGAGAGAAAAAACGTATGTAGTGTCATTTTGCAAAAAGTGTGGTTTAGAAAATTGCAAAGCGTTTGGTGGGCCCATTTATGTATAGGAGAAAGAGAAAGGGCCAAGGACACTTCCCTGTGGACCCCAACTGAAATTTGGTAGTGGGGAAAGAGTTTTGCCCCATTTGCGTAAAAACAAAATTGGCTTCTGTTTGCTGAGGTAAGACTTGGGTAGTTGGGAGTGCCCCCCTTATACCATGTGTAAAATTTTAAAAACGTGGAGCAATTCAGGGTAAAACTGTATCAAAAGCTTTATTTAAGTTAATGAAGATCCCCAGGGGGACTTTTTTTTTTCTCTATTGCGGGTGTATATATGTTCTAGCATGTGTATAAATAGCATCTTTAGAAATTTTTATTAGGCCTGAATCCAAATTGGAAAGGGTTTGAGAATGTTTTGGGAGATGGGTAGGAGAAAGGTTTTTTTCGTTTTTAAATTTAAAATTTTTCAAAGATTTTTGAGAGGGGGTTTGTAAATTGGATTTTGGGCCTAGTTAAAAAACTCTGTTTGGTCTCCCCCTTTTATTTTTACTTTACAAAAAAACAAGGGAAAAATTTAAATATAAAGACTAATGAAATGGATAAATAAACTTTAACACCCTTTTTAAACTTTTTTTGGGAAGACTCTTGTTGATTTTTTGGAAGCCGGCGAGGGGGGGAGAGGGAGGAGGAGGGGATAGGGTTTGGAAAAGGGAATCCCCTTCCATAAAGCCCTTCGGGTATAAAGGGCCCCAAACCGGGGTTCCCTTTTTTGTATTTACTTGCCTGGGCCCAATTGGGGTCACGGGAAACCCCTGCCCGCACAAAAGTCTGTCCAGAGAGGTCTGTTTCTGGCCTCTTTTTTAAGATTTGTCAAAAATTGGGACAAGGCATTGCCCTTTTGGTCATGTTCCCAGAACAGTTTGGGAAACAGCTTTGTTAGGGTGAAATTTCTCCACAAAATTTTGAAAACTCTTTCCCCCCTTTTCAAACATTACTTAATCACTTGGATCTTCTTGCAAACCCAAAAAGGGGACAACCTCAACCCCGAGAACTAAAAGGCCATCTCCTTACTTAATCACAGGCAGCCCTTCGAAAAAATTTAACCCAAACAGGCTAAATTTAAATACATGGAGTTAAAAACCCCCCTTTTCTCAAAAAAAGGCAGTTCGGTTTTCGGGGCCCCGCTGCAGTACACAGCGGGCCAAATAAATAT